GGGGAGGGAGGGAGGGAGGGGAAGGTGAGGGCGGGAGACTGGCGCATGGGTACGAGAGACGAGGCCCATCACACCTTCCACCCCATCCAAACTCCAATCATTGCGCCTCCGAAAGAAAGTTGGGGCATATTCGTGTCTTATTCGGGGCCGGGCGCCGCTCTCCCCGCCTTGAACCTCCCTTCCTCTCTTCCTCGTCCTACTCACCGTTCTCCTCCTCCGAGGGCGCACCCAGGGCAGCCCCTCCCTCCTTCCCCATGGAGGAAAGGAATTGCACCTCCAGTTTCAGTGCATCGACCTGGCCTTGTAACGTGGCGAGTTCTGCGTCCTTGTTTTCCACGGCCGCTACCAGCTGAGGAGAGAGGAGGCATGAAGGGAAGGGAGGGGAAAACCGGCAGTAAGCGGGTACGTTGGACTGGCGGTATGGAGGGGCCCAGAACGTGTCCCTGACTTCCAAAGCGGGGTGTATCGCCGAGCACAGTCGTGACATCAAGGTTTGCAAAGGAAGAGACAGAGCGCCCGTGGTCTTCCAAGTCGAAAAGCATAGACCTTTACCTGTTGCTTTACACGTTTGGTGGCATCCAAGTCAGCCTTCACAAGCTTAAGGGCCTTCAAGGCTTCTTCTTGCAACAATGACATGGCTTTCAATAAAAATGGTGACAGAGAAGCATGCAGCCCGGGCTCGTGCGAAGCGTGAAGTATCAGCTTTCTAGCGGTAATGCGCTGAACTTGCTGGTTGGAAAGAAGGCATAAGTACTGCGAATGACCTTCCTCCTGTGGTTACTGGGGGGAGAGAGAAAGGGGAAGAGAGAAGCATGTTAGAATTCTTGTCGTGTATTCAAAAGGACAGCAAGGAACACTAGAGTTTCACTGCAGCTCTCTTGACAAGGCGAAATGAGGTATAGCACCAATATGGCCAGGACAATTTTATACCCAACGAGACGTTGTCGAGCCGGGAGACCGAGGGATGTAAAAGTGTGAAAAGCTTCATGTCGAATCAACCTGGTGATTCTTGCATTTCCGGGACAACATGGTGGGTGTTTCCAATAATTATGGTCCTCCATGCTTCCTCGTGCCTCGTTCTTCGTCCTCTTCATCTCCGCAGGTCGGAGGGCAGAGTAGCGGGTAAATATACCAGACAATTTTCAGCCCATCGCACCGCGTTTTAAATCATGCTGGTGCAAAATGGGTTTCTCACGTAATTCACAAGGCATTTCTCTCATGCAAGGCTTTTGGGTGCGTTGTTGTGCCTTGTGTTTTCGGGGTAAAAAAGTGGCGGGGGATGGCCCGTACGAATTTGGCACGCCTCCTACTTGCCTGCCTCCCGGATGGCAAAATATCAGGCTCTCGGAAATAAAATTGGCACTCCAAAAAGGTTCTCACCGCTCATATGTCTCTTAATCTTGAATTTTTGGGGATGCTGGGGAATCATCCTCATTTTCAATTATTTTTTTTCATTTATTGCTCTTTCGCGTCCCGTTTTCTTTCTTTGAAATGCTCACAGCACCTCTCATTTTTTTTTCTCCGCAGACTCCAACAGTCTGTTCCTCGTCGAGCAGGCCTGATAATGGCTAGTGATGATGATGACGCGCTCTTGGGAATGGATGTAGAGACCCTCGTCAAGTCGGCTTATCAAGCACGGGAAACGTAAGTGCCCAAGGCAGAGAGGCATGAAACGATGTGCGCTTCCACACCTGTCTGCCTGCACCCCTTGAAAACGCAATCACACAGGCAACGCAAGGCTGAAGAGGCGGAAACGGTTCGAAAAAAGGAAGAAGAAGCGGCCGCAGAGGCCGCAGAAGCGGCTCGTTTGGCCGCGAGCCTTGCAATAATGGAGGCGGCAGCCGCGGAGGCAGCTTCGTTGAATGACAAAGAGGCCACTGCCACCGCCCCGGCGGCTGGGAGGAAGCGTAAACGAGTTCCTAGTGGGGCACAAGGCGCAGGCAATGGCAATGCCGTGACACCGCCTGAGAAGGAGGTAGTCACGGAAGCGAACGAGGAGGTAAGCCAAGGCACGGAGATGATGGGCAGACCCTTGTAAAAGGACCCCGGACACGTATCATTCACCTTCCAGCCTCCCACTTTCGATCTCATTGGCCTTACAGCGACTGCCTTTGAGCGACGAGAGCAACCGCAGCCGGCCCCGGCGCTCCTCCCGGCGTTCGAGTGTCGCGCAGGGAACGGATCGGAACGCCCCCTCCGCGCGGGTGGAGGCAGGGGAAGGGAACGTTGAGGACGACCGGGTGAAAGGGGTAAACACGCAAGGAAAGGAACAGGAGGAAAAGGGTCCGGGGGTGGGGAGAAAGAAGGGCGAGGCCCGCGTCCCAGGCGCAGGCGTGAAGGCGGAGGAGGTGGAGGGAAAGGGTAAGGTGGCAGGAGGGCGTCTGACTCGGTCGAAACGCAAGCGGATGGGGGAGGTGGAGGAGATGGGGGACGTCGTTAGAAGGGGAAGGTCATCGAAGGTGGTGGTGGAGGAGTCGGAATCGGAGGCGGAACTGGTGGTGGTCGAGGAGGGAAAGGAGGGGGAGGAGGGGGAGGAGGGGAAGGAGGAGAAGGAAGTGGAGGAGGAGGAGGAGGAAGACGCCACCGGCGAGGAGCTCCCGGAAAAGGAAGGGGGCGAAGTCTCAGAGGTGTTCACCGCTTACAGGCCCCAAAAACTGCACCTGGGCCGGCCTCATCCGGGTAAGATTGTGGAGACATCCGTCCTTGCGCGGGCCACGCCTCCCGACGTCTGGTACGTCTTGCACCCGGGCATGCAAGCTGCCATCGACGCGGGGCTCCTCTCGAGCGCCCAGTTGGAATCCATCGTCTACGCGTCCCAGCAGCACGAAAAAACCCTCGTGAACGGACAGGAGGTGGGCGGGTTTTTCATCGGCGACGGCGGTAAGGCGAGGGAGGGAGGGAGGGAGGCCGTGACCGATCCGAGAACAGATCCGGGTAGCTTTTGTCATGTCCCATGGCTATTATGGCCGACTCCATCCTCATCGTGTTCTCCCTCGCCCGTATCCGCCCCCACCTTCGCTGTCGCCCGTGACGTCACGTTTTCCCAGCCGGCGTGGGGAAAGGCCGGACCATCGCGGGGTTGATCCTGGAAAATTGGCTGCGCGGTCGTCGGAAACATTTCTGGTTCTCCGTCTCCAACGACCTGTACGTGGATGCCCAGCGGGATTTGCAGGACATTGGCGCCGGTTTCATCCCCACTGTGAGCCTGAACACGCTTGCCTACGACGACGCGCGTCTCCGGCACTTCCAGGGGATTGTTTTCGTCACCTACACTACCTCCGTGGGGAAGACCCGGCTGGAGAGCGGGATGACGCGGGTGGACCAGT